TTCGCCGCCAATTTCGATTCCCTTTTGTGCATTTGCAGAGCAGTTATTTGTCTGCTATATATAAGTGTCAGTGGCTTCTATGCTGTACATATGTATGTATGTAAAACAACACATCGGTTAATTTTTAGCGCCAATTGCAGCGGCAGTGGCTTTCAAACTGTATATAGCCAACAGTTCCTACAAAACTCGGCAGTGAATTTAAGCCCTGCTCACAGTTTTATGTTTATATGTACATATTTTCCTGGATATTAATTCGGTGTATATTCAAATATTCGGCCTGGAGAAAAATTGTAATACATTTGTTGGCTTTTTTTGTCGGTGTTTGTGGGCATCTTTAACCCGTACGGGATCCACTTAAATAGTTTGGACAATTTATTTGTCAAATAAAATTCAACATTTGTGCATTTGGTTAAACGGCAAACACACATACAAATATATTTTGTTCATTTTGGTGGTGCTTCTGTGCACATTTAACCCTTATCCGACCCTAATACATTTTTTTTGGAGGAATTAAATTTTTTAATTTTTAAAATTTAAAATTTAGATATTGTTTGAAATTTATTAAGGAAGCATTTTGAGCATTTTGGAAATAAATTTATATAACCCTTGTGTCCGACTGTTTTTACTTGGAATATTTTATTTATTTATATTAACCTAAAATGTCTGAAAAAGAAAAGGAAGCATCGTCAAAGCCTAGTGCTAAACTAATAGTGGCTATGCAAAAACACGGCAGGGTGATGAGTGACATTCAACGTATGAGAACGTCATTCAGGAAAAAACCATTTCATTCGATAGGTTTCAAATGGAATACCGAATGCAACTTCTCGAAACATATTGCGAGAAATTTATGGATATCCAAGGAGATATCGATGTGCTAAATCCAGTGAATGATTTAAGAGCGTCTGTTGAGGAGATGTGCATAATTTCAAAAGCGTTATATCGGTCCGCAATGAGAGAATTCGAGCCTCAGAGACTTAGTCAAAGTGGTATAGGTGGTTATCGTCATTCGTCTCAGTTACCAAAAATGAATCTACCGAAATTTAGTGGAAAACATTCCGACTACAAAAATTTTATAAGTCTTTTTGAGAGTTTAGTTCACAACGACCCATCTCTAACAAACATAGAGAAATTTAACCATTTTTTAACATGTCTAACAGATTATGCATTAGGTACTGTGAAAGCTTTTCAAATGTCGGATCTAAATTATGAGAAGGCATTGGCTAGTCTAAAAAACGTGTACAATAATAAATGTTTGATCTTTTTTGACACGATTTCTCAGCTGTTTGACCTCCCGCAAGTATCAAAACCCTCTGCATCAGGCTTGAGGTCTCTTATAGATGAAATATCGGCCCTCTACGCATCGTTACAGTCCTTGGGTAGTGAAAAGGAAATAAACAACGCAATTTTTATTTACATAGCAATGTCCAAAGTAGATCACACAACAAAATCCATATTTGAGGAACAGCTAGATTATAATACGTTGCCGACATGGTCTGATTGTGCGACTCTGTTGAATCGGCGATATCAACATTTAGCTGCTGAAGAGTCAACCAAAAGTAAAGGGAAGCCTAACCAAGGTCCCAATAGAGGATATTCCAAATCGTCCTTCTCATGCACACAAACAAATCGCAGACCTGAATCAAAATGTCGATATTGCTCAGCGACAAACCATAGTTTAGGCAGTTGTCAACCATTCATGGCTTTATCCAACGGTTCGATTTTACGAAACACAATAGGTTGTGTATTAATTGCCTGAATCCAGGTCATCCAGTCAAGAAGTGCAAAGCAGTAAAGTGTCGCGTTTGCTCCAAACCTCATAACACACTTCTTCACAGATACGGAGTAGAGCAGCAACCAACTTCTTCGGGATCACTTCCTCAAGTGCAAGCCCAAGCACCTTCAGTAGCATTTGATTATCCCAATCAAGCCCATTCTTGTCATGTTGCAAGTAGTGGCCAAGTTATTCTTGCTACGGCTGTCGTTAAGGTACGGGAAAGATTTGGACAGTTTCAATTAGCACGATCTCTGTTAGACTCAGGGTCTCAAATAAACTTTAAGGCCGAGGACTTAGCAAAGCGTTTGCGGTTACGCAGGAAGTGAAGTGAAGTGAATATCACTACCGTTGGGAAGAACGACTCGGTAGTACGGCACAAAGTCCACGCGTCGATTCATTCTCGCGTCAATGCTAATAGTTTCGCTACTGATTTTTGGGTATTAAGCTCCATTTCATCATATTAACCAGATAACGAAGTCAATTGTGGACAGTGGAAAATTCCAGCAAATATTGAATTAGCAGACCCTCGTTTTCACAAGCCTGCAAAAGTATACTTACTAATTGGGGCAGAATGCTTTTTCGAACTTCTCAGCGTAGGCCAAATAAAATTGGGTTCAGAACATCCTTCAATCCAGAAAACTTTATTAGGATGGATTGTTTCGGGAAAGTACACTCAACGCGTATCGAATAATGCTCAAGTATGCAGCGTCAGTGGTGGTGAAAATATAAGTTCTCTCGACTCTCTTGTAGAAGGTTTTTGGGAATTGGAACACGTCCCGGAGAGATCGAAGGCTGTGTATACAGCTGAACAAGTTGCTTGCGAGCAGCACTTTGAGAAAACAGTACACAGGCTTTCGTCAGGTCGTTTTGAGGTAAACTTGCCATTTAAGACAAATCCAAGTGTTTTAGGCTTATCCTTCGAAACGGCAAGGCGCAGATTTCTTGTGTTGGAGCGCAAGCTTGCAAATAATCGCGAGTTACATGACATGTTTCAAGAGTTTATGATAGAGTATCTTAACCTTGGGCATATGTCGCTGATTCCAACACCTCCTCCAGGACAACACTATTACATTCCCCATCAATGTGTCCTGAGACCTGATAGTAGCACCACAAAGTTGCGAGTTGTTTTTGACGCTTCAAGTAAAACGTCAACCTCGATCTCATTAAATGAGACTCTAATGGTGGGTGCAACGATTCAGAGGGAGCTTTACGCTATTTTGGCAAGATTTCGATTACACAAATATGCCTTGACTGCTGATATCTCGAAGATGTATAGGCAAGTTAACATTGCCAATGATGACAGAAATTTCCAACTTATCGTGTGGAGGGAAAAGTCGACGCAAGCTCTCCAAACCTATCGCCTCAACACTTTCACTTATGGAACAGCCTCTGCTCCATTTTTTGTCATTCGTTGCTTCTTTGAACTGGCAAAAATTTATTTTGAGTCACATCCTGTCGCATCAGAGGTAATTTCAAGTGACTTCTATGTAGACGATATGCTCACAGGAGCAAACAGCTTAGAAGAGTTGGAAGTCATTCGCAAAGAAGTGACCAAGGTGTTAGAGTTCGGGGGTTTCCAGCTGGCCAAATGGGCAACAAATCACCCAAGTGTGATGACTAACCAGGGATCAGAAAAATCGCTTATGTTCAACACTTCCGAGTCTGTGAAAACGCTTGGGATGAGATGGAACCCTCAGAGTGATGCCTTTCATTATAGTTTGGAGGATTCGTTTCAGTCCCTACCACCAACTAAACGCTACATTTTATCCGTCACAGCCCGTTTGTTTGATCCCTTGGGATTGTTGTGCCCGCTGATCACAAGAGCTAAAATCTTGCATCAGGAACTTTGGCGACAAAAACTGGATTGGCACGAATCGGTTCCCATGAATTTACACACCAGTTGGAATGAATTCAAAGAGAATTTACTAGAAATTGACCGCATATCCATTCCTCGATACATTTGCATTGATGCATCGAGTCACGCCTAAGGCTGTTGCATTTATATTCGTACCGTGTCTGGGACAATTAGTTTGTCAAGACTGCTGACCGCCAAGTCGAGAGTGTCCCCCCTCAAAACCAAATCGATTCCAAGGCTCGACCTGTGTGCAGCGCATCTGCTTGCCAAATTATGGGCTCAATTATTTCCCTTGCTTAACAAATTAGAGTTTGAAAGCATCAACTTCTGGTCGGATTCCCAATTCACTTTATACTGGCTAAAGAGGGGTCGAATAGAGTTTCTGAAATTCAAGAGCTCTCAGAGAATGTTGTCTGGCGCATGTGCCCACGTAAGATAATCCAGCCGATTTAGTATCACGTGGAACAGATATAGAGGGTTTAAAATGTACGCTATGGGAAAATGGACCAGAATTTTTACTCCGACATCCTAACGAGTGGCCTCGTTCTCATCAGACTGAATTTTCACCGGAGTTACAGTTGTCCGAGAACAAGAAAAGCGTGGCAGTATGTTCCGTCACAACAAATCAACCAAATGTCTTCATTGAGCTTGTTGGAAGATGTTCGTCATTCAATAAACTCCTGCGGATTATGGCATATGTAAATCGGTTTATTCAAGGGAAGAAAAATAATCGCGATATGGTTATTTCGGCTAACAAACTTAAGTTATCGTTTTTAAGAATGGTCCAAGTATATCAAAGAGCTGATTTTGGTTTAGAATATGTCAAGCTATATAAATCTGTAACTTTAAGCCCACATCTTCAACGTCTAAATCCTTTCTTACACACTAGCGAACTAGAAGGCGTAACACTTCAATTAATCCGAGTTGGAGGAAGGTAGTTAAATGCACAAATTCCGTATGATGCCAAATTTCCAATATTACTGTCCTCAAAATCAGAATTTGTTTCGCTATTTCTTCGAGACCTGCATCGTACTCATTACCATGCTGGTGCCAAGGTGATGGTATAACTTTCGAGACAGCAGATATGGCTAATCAATGCGCGAGAAGCGTGCACGAAAGTTGTCCGTAGCTGTGTTCACTTTTTCAAGTACAAACCAGTGCTAATGGGTCAGATAATGGGCAATTTGCCAGCCGAAAGGGTTTGCGGGGTAGATTTTTGCGGACCATTTTATGTGTATCAAGACTTATGTTGCCGTTTTCGTGTGTTTTTCGTCAAAGGCTGTTCACCTTGAGCTCGTTGTAGATGTATCCACTGACAGCTTCTTATCCGTTTTTAAAAGGTTCGTCGGGAGGAGAGGGCTGCCGCAGAAGATGTACAGCGACAACGCCACGAACTTCGTGAGAGCGAGCAACGTGCTCAAGGATCTGAGCGCAGCGTTTCACCGCAGTCAGGAACAGTTGAGAGGATACGCGGCTCGGAGAGGCGTCGAGTGGGAGGCAGCAGTCAAGGCCGCCAAACACCGGCTGCTGCGAGGAGTCGGCAACGCCAAGCTGACAGCGGACGAGCTCAGCACCCACCTGGACGAGGTAGAAGCGCTGCTCAATTCTCGACCAATCGCGTCGCCAGGCAACGATCCCAACGATGGAGAGGCCCTGACTCCAGGACATCTGCTTATCGGACAGCTTCTGATCACGCTGCCGCAAGAGTCCGGCACAGGCGGAATCTCCAGCAAGGCCAGTTGCGGATATTTGAGGCGGTGGAGAATGCTGTCCGATCTCAAGTAGCAGTTTTGCGCCATCTGGTCCAAGGACTACATCGCCAGCATGCAGCATCGCAACAAGTCGGAGGCCGGGTGCCTGGTGCTCATGCACGAGGACAACATGCCCCCGCAAAGGTGGCTTACTGGCCGCGTGGTGGCAACAACAGTCGGTGAGGACGGAAGAGTGCGTGTGGCGGAGGTACGGACGTCAGGAGGCGTCATCAAGCGCGCCATCCACAAGATGGCATTGCTGCAAGTAAGCAACGCTCCCAACGAGGAGGTTTAAGCGCCGGAGGCCTTTAACTGGTCCGGAATGTTGGAGCAGTAGATTAAGTTTTATTTTTAGTTTTAAGGATAGATGAAAAGAAAGAATTAATTGAATATATGCAGCCAAAATGTAAACAAATCACACTAAACCAATGTACAAAAGCTTATCAGTTGCACTCAAGCTTGAGCATAGCCGAGTTGTTGTGATCTAACTGGTAAGCTTTTCTGTTCGTGGCTATGCGAAATGGTATGCTGCTCTCGGGAGAACATTAACCGATCGAACCTCGAAGCAGCTGGCAGCAATAAACTTTGAAACCAACTTCGTTTCGTTTTTTTCGCTTTCTTGGAAATTCCCCAGCCGCTAGTCGCAAGTCTTTTTACTTTAAATTTTATAAGTAATTTTTCCGGGAAAACTCTCCCAGATTTTCACTTTCAACCCTATCTTTTCTGTCAAAATTTCAAGATAGTTACAGACCACAGGCCTTTGACTTGGCTTATGAATTTTAAGGAACCTAATTCAAAATTAGTCAGATGGAAAATGCAACTCCTAGAATACGATTACGAGGTGGTATATAAAAAAGGTTCCCAAAATGAAGATTCTCTTCCGAAGCGAACGGACGTGTTTTTGTCTACTCTCGTTAACTTTGTTGGCTATTTACGAATATACGCTTAAACCGATACGAATTTCTTTGTATAAATAAAACCTTCAGCCGTTTGTCTTCCGCGCAGTGAACTAAACTGTGTAGCTTTTGTTTCTTTTGTTTAAACTCTCAATTTACTTAAATTATTTTCGCATTCTCCTAATTCTCGTCTTTCGCGATAAACGGTTCCTCTCTCACTCGCGCCTCTCTCGTGTTGTTTATCTATACCTTATCTTGATTTCAATCTATTCCCCCGCTCCCTCACACTTCTTATAGTGTGCATATCTAAAACTTATCTGGTTTTTATTCTTCTTTTTCTGTTCTCGCACAGTGGGCTTTTTTCGATTAAATAGTGCTTAAAAATAATAATTATAATCATTATGTCTGAAATTGTCTGCTACTTAATATCTTGTAACAAAATAATTACAACTAACCAGCCGAGCGTTTTGTGTTGGCTTTGTGATAATATGGTTCATGCCAAATGTGCCAATTTCCGTGCCACCGTATCGGATGTTTTGGCCCGAGGCGATTCCGGCTTACATTATTGCTGTGAAAGTTGTCGGGGTCTCAAAGGGAAATGAGATCTTTTATGCGGCAGACAAAAAATGGTTTTCGTGAGGTGCTCGGCGCTTTTCGTAAAGCCAGCGATTTGCTCACGGCGCTGGACACCCAATTTAATAATGTCCAATTGTTAAATGAGTCTCCAAAGCGTAGAAAATCAAACTCTTGTGTGCCGCAGATCACTAGTTCCCTTCTCGCTCCTACTTCTTACCTTCAGAACACTGAAGTGTCGCCGCAGCTGTTTGGAACGCCTTTGGCCAACACTCCGGTGAGTACGAAAAATTCGGCATCCGAATTTTCTGGACATCATGGTAGGAAATCGTTAGATAGTTTGTCTGCTTCAAGGCTTCTGGCTCCTACAGAGCCAATCTCCATTAACATCAACCCACCCGATACACTGCAGGGGAATTTCGTGCCCGGACTACCGGCGTGCACTGGCGGTGCAGTATCAGAACCTGCTACACCAAAGCCCCTAAAGGTAATCCCACCTGAGAAACATATATTTGTTTCCCGGCTTTCCGAGGATACGTCTGAGTCAGACGTATTGGCATACATACAAGCCAGAACGAAAGCCGACATTAAGTTGGATAACATAACTAAATTTAAATATCATTATAACAGAATAGTATCCATCATCGCGTACCCTCGGTGGAATTTGACAAAATGTGCTCAACCAAGTTCTGGCCGGAACACATTTTCGTCCAAGAACATCGACCGGGACATAAAAAAAAGAAAATTAATCGACCTGCGGCGGTAAAACTCCCCCAAACAAAAGCCACTGAGCAAACCCTCGCAAAAAACTAACATCTTCTCTCATTCTTTCCTATCAGAACACAAGGGGGTTGCGTACTGAGCTTCCTACTTTGTTTTCTGAGAACTTCTCATTTGCGAAACATGGCTGGTTTCGGAAATTCTTAGCTCTGAAATTTTTCCGAGTAGGTATGTAATATACAGGCTTGATCGATCACTCCGATCTGGGGGTGGAGTGTTGATTTCTGTCGACTCTAAACTTGTATCCGAGCAGATTAACCTTCAATTCGGCGATACTGAATTCATTTGTGTTAAACTTGCGCTTCCTGGTAGGTTTTTATTTATTACATGTTCTTACATCCCTCCCAAGTCCGACCCATCCACGTATGAGTTGCACCTAGCGGCAATACAGTCCGTTTTTACGTTATTATCAGATGTGGATCAGTTAGTGGTTCTGGGTGATTTTAACATACCACAAATTAACTGGTCAAAAAATGAAAATAGTTTAGCTTTAACACCTTCCTCACATAATGATTTTATTGCAGGTATGTTAGACTCGACCCTGGAACAAATTAACCATGTTAAAAACTCTTTAGGTCGGTTACTCGATCTATGCTTTATCTCAGATTCGGACTCCGTATATATATCTAGGGTTCCACCACTTACACGCCCTGAAGATCTTTATCATCCCACTCTGGAGCTGGCGATCGATGTTGGACCACTCCAAACGACTGAGCCTACTAGGGCTGTCAAAAAGGTTCGATGTTTTAGCATGTCAGACCTTCTTAAACTTAATATTCTTATCTCTGATTTTGACTGGTCCGATCTCTACGCATGCAATGATATGACTACAGCTTTAAACATATTCTACCATGCAGTAAACCTAATTTTTGATATATGTGTTCCGATGAGGTACCCGTCCAGAACGGATAACCCTCCTTGGTATACCAAGGGCTTAAGCACCTTAAAAAATATAAAAATTCAGGCTTCAGAAGAAATACTTAAAAAACTAGAACTCCGCTTAGTTACTCTCAATACTTAATTGCTCGGTCAAATTTTACCGTGCTTAACGCTCAGTGTTATAAAAATTATTTAGCTCGTTGTAGGACCCAATTTACACAGGATCCGAAACAGTTTTATAATTTCGTTAAGACTAAGCGTAGACCTAAAACGTTTCCTTCAGCACTAACGTTTGAAAACTCAACGGCGAGAACTAATCAGGCAATAGCCGATATGTTCGCCAAGTTTTTTCAAACCACATATTCACCTTCGACAACCGCTAGGGAGCCTTATGTCTACGGTGTTCCACAATCGAACCTCGTCACGCGACCTTTTCTATCTAAGAGTGGTATTCTTAAGGATCTTCAGAGTATTAAGCCGACCTACTCTCCGGGCCCCGACAGCGTTCCCGGCTGTATGCTTAGGTACTGCGCGTCTTCCATTTGCAATCCTCTTATCAAACTGTTTAACCTCTCGCTTGAAACGACTACGTTTCCCCCTATTTGGAAGGAATCATTCATCATTCCTTTACACAAGAAAGGGAAAACTTCGGATGCTGGTAATTATAGAGGTATCTCTAAATTATCAGCAATTATTAAACTTTTTGAGAAAATTATTGTGCCCCATTTGCAACACCAGTGTAGATCAATAATATCTCCATATCAACATGGTTTTATGGCTCGACGGTCTACAACTACAAACTTCCTTGAATTTACCTCTTATGTCATTACTGGGTTCCGAAAAAGTCTTCAGACAGATGTCATCTACACTGACTTTAGTAAAGCATTTGACTCTGTAAATCACTCACTTTTAGTTCATAAACTTGACTTAATCGGATTCCCATGCGATCTTCTTAAGTGGGTTGAAAGTTATCTGACTGGTAGAACGCAACGTGTTTTATTTAAAGATGTCTTGTCTGGTCCGATTTATGCTTCATCCGGTGTCCCTCAGGGAAGCCATTTAGGTCCGCTATTTTTCACATTATTCATAAATGACCTTCCAATCGCTTTAACAAATTCTTTTATTTTAATGTACGCAGATGATGTGAAACTTTGTATTCAATATAATGTTGCGTGCTACCAGAGAAAACTACAATCTGACCTTAACAACTTTCAATTTTGGTGCTCTGCAAACTTACTAAATCTTAACGGCTCTAAGTGTAAAGTAATGACCTTCAGTCGCTCTAAGCCGTTAATATCCACTTATACGCTTTGTGGTGTAACCCTTGATAGAACTAAGCTAGTAGACGACTTAGGTGTCCTATTGGATGCGAAACTTACATTTTCCGACCACATTTTTTCCATGGTTAACAAAGCCAGAGGTGTGTTAGGTTTTATAAAAAGATGGTCGAAAGAATTTAATGACCCTTACGTAACCAAAACTTTATTTGTCTCTCTCGTTCGTCCGATCTTAGAGTATGGATCTTGCGTCTGGAACCCCCAGTACGCGGTCCACCAAGACCGTATAGAATCAATTCAAAAAAGCTTTCTCTTATTTGCTCTTCGTGGCCAAAATTGGGATGCAAACTTACATCTTCCCTCCTATAAAAGCAGACTATTACTAATAAACTTACCTACCCTTGCTAACCGTAGGACAATGCTTGGCGTTGTTTTTATTAACAATCTTATTAGTGGGGACATTGATAGTCAAGCCCTAATAGGTCGCTTAAACATCAATGTGCCCGCTAGACCCACTAGAAACTATATTCCCTTATCCTTGAGACATTGCAGCTCGAACTTTGCCCTTCATGAACCATTTAGGGTATTATGTTCGAGTTACAATACCCTCTACCACATTATATCCAATT